TAAGGATGTTTCAGAAAGTGCTACTACTGTTTATCGTCCTCACTTGGATGACAATAGATGTACACGGTTGTTCATGTTTTGGCCTACAACACCCTCAATCGCAATTTTGTTCAGCTAACTACGGTAAGTTTAAGAATTAATATGTTCATGAAAGGCCTCGTTTTACGTTTTTCAAAACGAAAGTAGTCTCAAATATTATATTTTAATTCCGATTGAAGTCACATTATGTTTTAATGTATGATTAGCACTGGCCACACCAATTAAATGCTTTTTTTTTAAAACAATGTTGACGTTTCAATCAAAATTTGTCATTCCCATAAATGGCCTTCAACTTCCTCACTTGTTTTGCCCTAATATTTTGTAAACAAAAAATAAGAAAAACAAACTGCTTCGGTTCAGTTATTAAGAGAAAGTTTAATAAATCGTAAATATATGGCTTTCATGTAAATGGTGTATAATTTTGCATCTGTAATTAAAACATGCTTGTCAAGAAAAGAGCAGGTTACTCACTTATTCTTGTTTGTTATTTTTGTTTTGTTTTTTTTTTGGGAGAGGTTTTGGATGGAATGGGGGAAACATGCCACTTTGAACTGTTTCTGCAAAATATAAACTTAAAAATAGACAGATGGTTAAGTAAATAGATTGATCCCTTTCGATTATAGATAAGTAATACAGGTAAACATCTTCAATCAATACAAAACCGCCTCCTCTGTAGATATACTGGTAGTGTTCTTATCTTGACTGCGGGGTATTCTGGATTAGATCAGCTACCTGGTCAAGTCAGAGACTAAAATATAATATTTACCACCTATCTACTATGAAGGCATCAATTAGATTTCATGGCGAAGATTAGTCTGTCCGATGAAAAATTATGAAAAATAATCAGTCTCGGCAGGGTGATATGTCCTAGTGTGTACTGTTACCTGGTAAATTAGTATGTACACAATCTGGCAAGTATCACATCAGTATGTTCTTGTTCTAATATGCATTAAACATTTGCAATATGATTTTAGGCACTTACTCCATCATTCCTTATCACTTACATATATTATAGAAAGCAATCTTCAATTAAAAAAAATATAGCAAATTTGGTACACCAACCAAATACATCACCATTTAACAAGGCTTGAGCGATACCCAGTCATTTACAACATAACTAGTCACCATTGCTAGATAGAAAGGTTTATCTGAGTCACCAAACACCTAATGGTAATGCGTGGTTAGTCATGTTATATCACTGAGCCTCACTAAAACAATCCCATAACACCGAAACAAATAAGAAAACTACACATATCTTATAAACACTTAAACAATACTATATTTTATGTTTTAGATAATGCATATTTTAAGGTTTTTCTTGTCGTAGAACACACCGAGGTGTGTCAGGGTTGATCAAATGAAAGACCGACCGTAGGGAGGTCTTTCTTTGGGCAATCCTGATACCCCGAATGTTTTTTGTGGATCGAATCAGTCAATCAAATGATTTACCTTTGTTTCACATTTAATGTTGACATTCTTATCTTTTAATAGCCTAACACGCATCCATCATGCATAATCTATCTCTAGCTAGCTAAGGGGTTAAATTGAAGTTCACATGAATATGACATTGGTACCTTTTCGTAGTCAGAAACTCTTATATAAGTGGTTGCGTTATTTGTTCTCTCTCATATTTATAATTATTCAACGGATTGATCATAAATCGGGCCAATTGCAAGTGAATGATTCATCATCGATGTTTCTTAGCTTTTTTTGACAAAATTGAACCATACTGGCTGCTAATAGCGACTTATTATTTCACTATTTTACTTTTATTAATGATTGAACAAAAAAACATAATTTAATGTGTGTATGCATCTCATAGCTAGTGCCCCTTTAATAGAGTAAATATTCACTGGCCTTGGATGTAAACAACTATGGGTCACTGTACATTCTTCTCCAAAGAGCATAACACATACCGTATAGTCAAAATCAGATATAAAAGGCACAGACATGTCATAATGTAAAAAAAATAAAATGAGAAATCAATTGGCCCGATTTATGATCAATCAGTTGAAGAATTATAAATATGACAGAGAACAAATAACGCAACCACTTATATAAGAGTTTCTGACTACAAAAATATACCAATGGATTGCTGTGGGAGAAGACTGGTTTAGTTCGTCAATTGTCTTTATAACAAACAAAAAATACCACTTGCACTTACCGAAGTATTATTTGTTGTTCGAAACAGTAAGTAGATTCCAGTATTTCTAGTATGTTTATGTGAGAGGCGTATGTGTCCATCCTATTCAAAAACATCATTTAATTTAGTGGTTACCACTAACCATATTGCATTATTATGGGACTAAATTATGACATTATTTTAGTAAACGTAGACAACACTCTTCTGATTTGTTCTAGATTTTTGATTAAATCAGATATTCTTTTTAGTATAGTCCTTGCTCATTCGTGTTGAACAGCTCTATGTATCATAATGATAAACAGTTTATATTTAGGAAACGTATCACCTTTATACAGTTGTGCATACATACAAGCATTTTATTTTGACAGATTTACAGGCGAACGTTAACTGCAAAGAAAAAAACCAGTTCATAAGTTATGTTCAGTTTTCTATTTGGTCTTAAATGATGAAAGGATTGATATACTTGTTATATATCATTTTCATTTAGTCTTTACAAATTATGAATCAGTTCAATCAACAACTGACAGTATCAACATAATATTAATAAGTACAATGTGTATAAGCAATAATACACTGTATCTCTTCTGCTTCCATCGTCTTCTTTATGTATTTTCCTCCAGGGTTGTCGGACAAACAGGTGTTGTTTTTTTTTTTCTCTCATAAGGATGCAAATAAAATCGTATGCACAATACATGAATCCAAACTAAAATGCAGTTCACAAAGCCTCTGTTTTATCAGTTTTACATGTATAAGTACACAAAAGGACATTCTTTTTACACGATATTTCACAGAATTTCGCGTCCTAAATCAACACACGATTACCTTTTTGTTCGTTTACAACTTCACATACAACCCTTCAGTTGTTATTTCCAATTTAATTGTGAAAACCAAAAAAAAAAAAAAAAATCTTCTCCACGCAAATATTTTTCATTGAAAAAAGAGGTTTGGTGTTACCAATTAAATTTAAAGGGATTATATACCTATGTATAGTTACTTCTTTCAGAAGAATCACTATGGACGATACCAAGTTTCAATGAAATATGATTCAAGAGATAAAAGAATGAATTGTAAAACATTGTAAAAGGTCATAATTTTCCTTGATTAAAATGCAAATTATAACATATTTTAACATTTAATTTGCTTGATTGTTATCGTGTGGTGTTGGTAAAGGCAGAAATAATCCTTTCCTCCATTTATTAGATTGCCATACAAAATAAATCGTCGTGGGCGGATATCTTAACTTTAAAAACAAATAATGTGAATTTTGTACTGTTTTTCTGTCATGAACTGCTGTCTTATTAGCGGTATTTTTTTAACATTAAAGATTAAGATATAAATAAAGGCAACAGTAGTATACCGCTGTTCAAATGTCATTATTCGATTAGGAGAAAACCAACCCGGGTTACAAACTAAAACCGAGGAAAACACATCACCTTTAACATGTATAAGAGGAAAACAAAGGAACAACAGAAACAATAACCTGCAACAACAATAAATGCTAACATACATAGAAACGGGCTATTAGATAACAACTGCCATATTTCTGACTTGATCCAGGACAGTTTAAGAAACAATGGTGGGTTGAACCGAGTTTTATGGCCTCTCCAACTTATATGGCAATGTTAAAAAAATACCGCTAAAATGGCAAAACGAATACTTCATGACAGGAACACAGTACAAACAAACGCAAATTAATCTCAAATTCAGTTGGATATATATATATATTATACGTATATGAGTGCCACTGAAAAAGGGTAATGTATGACATGACATCATTAATATGTCTGAAACATGTGACGTGTAAAAGTAAATGATAAAACTCTTCAAATTGATATGATTTTATCTTCCATGACATAATTGTGTAGTAATGTAGTTGTTTTCTTATAAGTCACGAGACGTATTTTTCGTTTTTGTGTTTGATATATGTCGTTTTAAGAGTTTATTTTTTTTTCATGGTGTGGCCCTTTACAGCTTACTTTCCAATATGGTTTTTGCTCATATCAAAGGCCCCCTACGTTGACCCATAATTCCTTACATTCAGTCATCTTGATGCTGGTATTTAGTTAGTTGTCGTATTGCAAATCATATTACATCACCTCATTGTATTAAAGAAACCTTTTTCGATTAAATAGCTGCATGATATCAGGATGAACCAGTGATTGCGTTGGAAATTGATCCAATTTACAGATATGGTGATATTTTGGAAAACAAGAGAGACAAGAAGATATAAAATGGAACGAACTTCCATCAATCAATGGACCAGTTACATTTAATTTAGTAAAAAATAATAATCCATAACTTATCATACAGAAACATAACTTGTGGGAGAGCAATTATAAATATGTTTAAATAACATTTGAATAAGTTAGGTTAACAAGAACATATCTAAATAAAACCTTAGGGAAATGGAAGATGTGAATGAGTTTTTAATTGAACATCTGCAATGTACTAGAGGTATATTTACATTAACATGTACTTTATTCACAATCCTATTAATATTGCTCTTCAGTGAACATAATTCGTCGAACACATTTTACTTAATATAATTCCACACTCAATTAAAACGTGATTATGTTACACGAGGGAAGTGAAGGGTGTTTATAAAGTTTATGCTATTTATTCGCAAGATTGATCCTGCTGTTTACTCAACAAACGAATTGCATTGTACACGCGGTCACACCGATTTTTCAAGCTTCCATTTGAAATGAAAACATGTTTATTTCATGTAATATGTGCACTTACCCTTCTATCATCCCCTGATATCAATTTTACATGACATTTGCAGTGCAAATATTTAAAGACACGAGAATTCAAATAACCGTGAGTAGTACATTTTTAACTAAGGAAAGAAACTGTTAGGATGTTTCAGAAAGTGATACTTCTGTGTATCGTCCTCACTTGGATGACAAATGATGTACATGGTTGTTCATGTTTTGGTTTACAGCACCCCCAATCGCAATTTTGTTCAGCTAACTATGGTAAGTTTAAAAATTAATATGTGCATGAAAGGCCCAATTTTACGTTTTTCAAAAACTAAATTGGTCTTAAATCTTATGTTTTTAATTCCGATTGAAGTTAAATTTAAATGTATGGTTAGCACTGGCCAAGCCAATTAACTGCTTTTTTGGAAAAAATGTTGACGTTTCAAACAAAATGTGTCATTCTCATAAATGGCCTTCAACATTCCTCACTTGTTTTGATCTATTTTTTTGTAAACACACTTCGCTCTCACTACATATGGAATTTACTACTCCCCATATGGAATTTACTCACCCCATTTATATCGTATTAGGTCACTAGCACACTGTGTAACTTATATTGCTAAACCTTTTTATCTTATGGTCAGCACTCGCACTGTGTAGATAAAAATATCCACGAATCCTTGATCTATTCTTTTGAAAATATTAGTATGACGTCATATAGCCTGTTCCGGCATCAAATTTTAGCATCAGACATGTTAAAACTGTTTGTACGCTTTAAGAAGGTGAACAAATGACAAACAGTAACCAATGACCAAACGAATAACCGATAAAAATGTGGTTATATCATATCATGATGCTGGATCAATCAAGTTACGGCATTTTTCGTATTTCACTTCGTGAACTTTTATACGATAAATATTTCTTCATGTAATAAATCGGTAACAGGCCACAACAGTAATAGAACATTTTAATATTACAAAGTAGAAATGGGATGTCTATTATTAAAATTTAGTAACTGAAATGTCTGCTGAAATCGGGCACTCGTGTTTATTCCAACAAAATGTTAATGCTAAATATGGATCCCTGCCGCATTATCTTGACGCACTGCCTCCTTGTGAAAATACATGGCTTCCTCTTCCTTATATAACGCCTTGTAGTATTTTATGTTCGGTAATGTGATCACTATTCTAGTGATATTTTTCGAATAACTTCCTTTTGAACAGTTACAAAAAGTTAATGAACACCATCCAATGACTTTTCCACAATTCATCTGTTAAAAAAAAATAACATAATAAATAAGCCAGCATCAAACTATGTTGTGGAGGTGCTGAATTTTATTAAAAACCAATATTGTCAATCGAATTAATATATTTTTTTTTGTCGTGTATCCTATACATGATATATAATGGTCATGTTTAGTGAACGTTTATAATCTTGTGTTATATTTAACATTGCCATAAAGCGCGAGGTTTGGCTAGCCACAAAACCAGTTTCAAACCACCATGTTTTCTTAAAATGTTCTGTACCAAGTCAGGATAATGGCAGTTGTTATCTTATAGTTCGTTTCTGTGTGTGTTTCATTGTCGTTTGTGGTTTTTTTTTTTTTTTTTTTGTTTCTGTTGTTTAGTTGTTTTCCTCTTTATAGTTGATGTGTTTCCTTCGGTTTTAGTTTGTATTCCGGATTTGTTTTTCTCTCAATAGATTTATGACTTCGAATAGCGGTATACTACTGTTGTTTTTATTCGTCAGATATTATCCTACACAGGTTTCGGAATATTTACTGGAGACTATCCGAACTAATTTCGGCTAAACTACGCTATACTTTCAAAAGACAAGATTTCGTTTAAAAATTCCCATATATAATTATGATATTTGACAGACTAGTGGTTTTTGAACATTTCAGAAATCATATTTGAAAAAAAAAAATAACTTGTTACACGAGTTCAAAATGCAAGGGATCAACAGGGGTGTTGTCATGCCTATTAATTTGACTATCTTTTATGATTGAGTGATTACTAGTATTTAATATTCTGGGGGAGGGTTTTAACGGTTGACTAGACTTCCTATTTGTTTTAAACTTTTGTACAAATTTGTGTCCTGCATGTTTTGATGCAGACTTATAATTTATCTTATGTTCTGTGCAAAGCTGTTTAATATCAGTTCTTACCCGGGCAAGTTGGCTATTTGAAAATCCTCCTCGAAAATACAATGATTTCCTCCCAAATATTACTGTACTGTCATAATAACACCGTTTGGTCAACAATATTGCATATTTTCCAGTATTCTACGGCAAAGTTACAAAGGAGACGTTAATACCAGGCCCACCAGATGATACTGCAAACAACTTTGCGATCTGGAAGTATACATTTAGCATTATTTATAAAATGAAGGTAGGAATAAATACAATTGGAATGTTAATTGTGTGAATTTAAACATAGAATTATATAAAATTTTCAAATGCAAATGGTTCAAGTAAAACATACATTATTGGAACCACTGCTCACATATACTTTGCAAGAAACATGTATTCTTAAACACCGAATGGAGAAGAACTAGCAATAAACGTCGTTTTTTTGTATCCAGCTAACTCCACAATGTTAGTGTCATTCCCGTGGTAACCTGCCTCCCAACACCGTTTTGTTAGTCTAATACTAGTTGGTAAAAAGAGATAACCTTGTAGGAAAAGTGTCAGGTATAGCAATAATATATTTTAAAGAATTATTCTTATAGGTTTTCAAAATTTGAATATAATTAAGAAAAAAAGAATGTACAGTTCTTTTGTTCCTTTTTATCTTTCATACACATTTAATGATAACTTTTTCATTTTAACCCAAATTTTTATCACAATGTCTGCTTCACTAGATTACAACATCAAAATATAACAAACAATGCAAACTAAATATTTGTAATGATCATGTTGATCGAAAAAGCGACTTTCATGCTTTACATTATCTATACAGGGGGTGACAGAATCTGTTGGTCAAGATGTTGTTATAGAGACAAGAGGAAATGGTGCGCTCTGTGGAGTACGTTTTACCGTCGGAGAGTCTTATATTCTAATGGGTAAATACATTGTAGAATGTAAAAATCATTGAGGAATGATATCAAATATTTTCAAGTGATGTTAAAAATGTGAAATATAAATATGTTAACTAAATTATGTGAGCCAGCTCTTCAAATACATTATCACATGGTACATGTATCTTTCGAAGTATTGCAAATTTCCAATGGGTCTTTTAGTGTATTTAATTTGTTAATAACGAACAAAATGGCAAAACTTCATAAGTATTAGCCTTTAAGCTGTTATAAAGAATATTAATCAATTCACACTGCAACTATTTCTAAGCTATAATCTTAACGTGGTGTTAAACATTGTTTCACTCCTATTTTATCTGACATAAAATGATAACATATACGATAAATACAACAATCTATATATTGTACATCTAGTGAAGAGTAAGTAGATACACATGATTAAACCAGCGGTAAAAGCTAAAAAAGGAAAACAAAATAATAATAAAAAAAGACGAACAATTGTCAATAATTTAACACAACAGATACAACTAAGAATGTGAATCTTAAATAAATGTTGGCCCCAATGGTACAATGTAAAGAAGGAATATAATGGCAAATAAGCAAAATGACGAATAGCTTTCAGAACTCATTAACTAAGAATTTAGCGACATTTACATAAACAAATGGATATAAAACCTCATATCCTGGACATGAAAACGCATTACTTTATTTTGTTAATTCAAGTTAATTGAATATCTAATTAATAAACAAAATACTTGAAATGACATTTTGCTAAGAGTAAGGAGATAAAAGGACCTATCAAGATATAAATGAAATAACGAATGAATAAGATAATAGCTAATTACAAAAAAATAGACAAGTAACTATCACATTATCAAAACTCAGGTTAATTGAATATTTGATAAAACAAATATTTGGTATGACAGCGATAGTTCTGAGAGAATTATAACAGTCATATCTTCCTGAAAACGAAACTAATTTACCTTTCGTTATCAGAAAAAAGAAGATGTGGTATGAGTGCCAATGAGACAACTCTCCATCCAAGTCACAATTTATATAAGTAAACCATTATAGGTCAAAGTATGGTCTTCATCACAGAGCCTTGTCTCACATCGAACAGCAAGCAGTAAAGGGCCCAAAAATATCTTTTAACAGTAAGTCTTACATCGGACTCTAACTTTTGTTGAACAGAGTGTGTCGGTGCGTGTTGCTTTGTGTTTGTTTATTCCACATTTGCTAGATCTATAGAGGAGGATTGAGATCTCACTTAACATGTTTAACCTCGCCGCATTATTCATTCTGTTACAAATCAGAAACCCTTAAACTTTGTTCGTCTTATTTGTCTTCTAATTACGGTTTATTTGTATACATCGGACTATAGTGTGGCGTTCATTTAGCTGAACTAGCATGCATTATTGTTTAGGGGCCAGTTAGAATACGCCTCCAGATGCGGGATTTCCTTACTGCATTGAAGACCAATAGTTGACCTTGCACCGTTTTCTGCTTTTTGGTCGAGTGGCTGTCTCTTATTCACACTCCCCGTTGTTATTCGCCATTTTTTTTCTGTTAGATGTCCTTTTATTCTGAAATATATATGACGGTAATATACTCATGATATAATCACGTCCATTGGTGAAAACTATATCCTGGCCAATACATGTTTCACGGTCATGTGTGACGTTCGGTTCACATTTTCGGACCCGCAATCTTTTTATTTACTCATAGTGCGTATTGTGAAGATCAAAGAAGATCGTCACCACTTACATTATACCTGATTCGCTAGTGTGTCGAATAACAAGACGCATCAAACTTTACTTCACATTGGACATGTTTGAAGAAAATGTCCACTTCAGAGAAGAACGAGGGTACTCAATGGGTGATTTTGTTGGGTTTTATTTTTTAAATTAAAGATATTATAAAAAACTACTGTTTAAAAAAATTGTTGCTGTACTATTCAACTTGGCTGCATATATGTTCTGATCAACCCTCTCACGTTTTTTTTTTTTTTTTTTCTTTTTTTTTTTTTGAGGGGGGGTGGGGGGAACTTTAAGTATAAATGTTCCTTTTGTTATATTCCACCTCTCTTTAAAAAAAAAGTCCACGACATCCCGAATTTTCAAGTGCAAATACATTATTTTGTTAATAAGTTCAATAAATAACCAATATGAAATTATCAGTTTACTTTCCAAATGTAAATCCTATTATCATGATTATTACAATGTATCTTTATTCAAGATCTAATATTCAAAATCTCCGATTACAGAATGCTGTTATTTACACGCTAAATGAAGATTAAATAAAATGCGAACTGTTATTTTACAGTCCAAGATGTTTAAAACAAAAAATGAATTAACTTGTGTTATAGGTTTAAAAATTTTCTTGATTTTTCCCTTTTGAACTTCTCAAATTCGATATTCGCTGGTGATTTATTATAAAAATAATAAAAACTTAACTCTTAGGCTTATGAATTAGTACTTCAAACTCATGTTAATATATTTCTAACTAAAGGTTAAACTGTTCCTTTCGAAAATTATTTACACAAGTAATTGTAAGATGTTTGTATTTAGGAAGAACAGGCTCCGATGGAAAAAAGTCTATTGGATTGTGTAATTATATCAGACAACTGAGCAGTCTGTCACCTTACCAAACGTTTTACATGTTTACAAGAGGTGTTAATTCTTACAATTTAAACTGTAGAAGGAGATGCGACGTAAGTAACTTAAACGCAAACCATTCACTTATAAGTTCTCTTTCATAGTTGTTTGTCATTTGCTAATATTCAAGAAGTTACTATTTGTGTATGAAACTATTAATATTGCACTGATTGGGACGAGCCGGAGAGGATTGAGATCTCATAAAATTAGTTTAAGCCTTCTACCTATTCATGTGCCTTGGAGAAGTTGGCAGCTCAGTAAATGACTATATTTTGTTATATCTGAATTATCCGTTATCTGTTGTTATTCCTAGCATTGTGTGGAAGTTTATTTTCAAATCAGATACCATTTTCTAGCTTCATTAAATATGTTTACACTAGTATGACAAGCGTAATGTATTTACCCTTAAGAAGTTGGGGGTTGCACCAACTGTCTGTGTTTGTTATACGAATCACACAAATCAGAGCTTGTTAAAAAAAATATTGTAGAATAAAGAAGGCAGAAACGTTTCTTCACATAATCGTATTCCGATCATCTAAAAAAATTCATGTTGTAAAGTTTTCATATAGAATAAAGGGCATCTCATATGAATTGATTAAAGCTGACCACAAATCAACTCAAAGTCCTTTAAAATATTGTTTATTCCTTTGACTACAATTCAATAATCTGAGTTTGAAACTCATGTGCTGAAAAGGGTACGTAGATATGGAGACAAGGTTGAGGAAAATACTACAATATTTAGATATAATCAAACAAAACTATCAAATGTAAACGGCAGAGGTATTAAAGAATGAGCAAATACGGAAGCACGAAAAGTAAATCAATGCTTTCTAAAAGCTACTTCGTTTGAAAAACGATCTATGTAAATATTTTGTCGTATATTTTGTTGCTTCTAAATCGTTAAATTGCACAACTGCTAAACGATAATCGGACAAAACTCGGGCTCTTCGTAGGCATATGCATACATTATTATAAAAAAGTATTCGGAAGCATACATTGTTCTGATATAAAAAAAAAAGTGTATTTTAGAAGGGTAACTATCTGTCAATAACCTCGCACAGATAATATGTATATAATATGTGTTTCCCATTTTCAGAAAATAAATCCAGATTCAACCGGTTGTAAATATGAGACTGGTAAAAATGATAAGCTTACCATTTGCCTGGCCAAGAATGCTCTGTGCAAACGGGAAAGAAGACGGTGTCGTTGGGTTAATAATGAAACATGTTAGAGTGGTAAAAAAATCAATCAATTTGTACGTCAATATAAATCAATTATATATAAAACTATTAATCAGACTTTCTGATGTACTTGTAAATGAGTAATTTATCGTTAAAATATTGTTGTTTAAATATTTTTAATTGCCAAGCTAATATTGTAATTCCATGAGGTAAAATAAATATAAAAAAACAAATTTCAAGGACAATTCAAAATGATAAGTCCCTTATCAAATGACAAAATCAAAATCCGGAATTTAGCAAACTATTTGAAGAAAAAGTGTCATATTCCTGACCTGGTACCGGTATTTTTGTTTTCGAAAATGGTGGGTTTAACATGTTTGTTCAGCCTGTAAAGTAGATCTACAAAAAGAATCACTAAATTGACAATATTTCACGTTTTAGACACGTGGCAAATGTGTACCAGGATCTGATAGCCTTCCGGCACACCTTATACCCCCCCCCTCCTTGGTTGTTGTTTTGATTCTTGTTATTCAGTTTTCAATGTAGTGTTATTAATACTGTTGTTTTGTCCTTTTCTCGTATTTCATATTTTTGAATGATTGTGTCGGTCTTTCCTCGTTAAGCTTTTTCTTAAAAGCGTCTTCAGCTTCAATTATTGAATCCATGACATTAACAAAATATGTAAGTTTACTAAAGATAATCGGCTTAAATTGTAAAATTAGACGGTAGTTCTGAATACAGCACTAGATTCCCTGATATAGCTTATAATAAAGCAGTCGTTTAATCAATAAACTGTGAAATTAACCTTCTGTTTGTTTTTATTTTACCAATTCTTGAACTCAGACATGTATATCATTTCGTAAAAAAATATCATCCTTGTTTGATGAGCTCCTTATCATTTGGTATTGTTTTTTCTTTTCTCTTTTCTATATAGATTTAAATCTTACCGTAGACATGAAGTCGCGTTTTTTTTTTTTCATTTACTCTACGCCATCTAAACCTAGTCAAAAAGATATCGGGGTCCACCAATATCTTGATGAATCTAAGAAATTATTGAAGGATCATGATTCAGATGAAGTCTTAGAGTTGCAAATTAAACTGGGAGAGAGAATAAAAAAAAACTAAAAAGAGATCAGCTGAACAAGCGCATTTCAGAGCTAAAAGCAGACGTTGATGTCAAGGACACAAGAACATCATAAAACAAATTCAAGAAGTCAAAGGGTGCAACTACTTTTAAAGAATTCTTATAAACCGAATAAAGATGTCAATGAGGGATTGAAGAGGTTAGAATTTGACATTGACACATATTCAAGCATATTGAAGTCTCAGCGAGCAGATATTTCAAAAGATTTGAACAAAACAAGTAAACGAAAAGATATAAGGGTAACAAGAGCTATTGCATGAATTAAACAAGACAATTAAGCTAACGTTCCCGTTTCTAAAACCAGTCATCATAAAGGAAAACATTCTGTATCTCAGAATGTACGAGTTTGCATGGAGATGGAAGGGTAATACTGAGTTTAAATCTGAAACAAATTCCAGTTCTGAGGATTCATCATCAGATAATGAATTGTCAGCTACATTATCTTCAATGAAAAAGAGTAAAAGTCTTACAGTGAAATATGTAGACAAAGTTATTAATCTGCAGATTTTTTACAGTACGAGTATGCCAGACAAGATTTTGAGTTTTATCAATAAATTAATTTAAATAAAAACAATTGAAAAAGAAGCGCGTTTATAGTTATTACATAAAATTGCCTATTTTAGTTCAATGCATCGTCATTTGCAGTATTTCTCGTTTGTCATCTGTAATAGAATGTTATGCATCATATTTAAGACTCATTGAGTAAGGTAGGACATGATGGTCTTCTGACTCACAAATATTAATAAATGATATGTTAAGTGATCACATTTTGCTAAAAGTAGTGAGGCAAGTTAATTTTATATAAATCTCCAAAAATTAAACTGGTTCAGGGCAAATGTGGTTTTATGTCGAATATCAGCGTAATAAATGTAAACATAGAAATTTGCCTAATACAACTGTTAGATGCATAACCAGAACTGTCCATCATATATGTGCTTCCTGTTGACGAAAAAAGGATAATATTAAAAAACCGCATCCAGAGTGTTCACTAAGTTAACATATCATACTGCATTAATAGATATTGCGAGAATTACATGAAATGTAAACCTGAACGGGATTAATGGTTTTTATGAACGATTTGCAATTTCTATATGCACATCTGCAATGTACTTAAACTTATTAATACATTAAGTATTTCCTTTTCAAAATAATCCTATTATATTGCACGTCTATGAAAGCTTTGACGAATTTATTTGATTTTGCATTATTCTACGTGTTTATATTCCATTAAAATGCAATTAAACAAAAACGATAGACAAAATGATAGAGGTGAACAGTTAATTTTGAATAACGAGTTCTGTAAGTTTTTTCACCAATTTTATTTATGCATGGGACAAAGTGGCATTGTATTGTGAAAATAAGTTATAATAAAAATTTCCAGTTCTTCTATTGCAAATAGGTTCCAATTTCGTCTTCCTTTTTTTTTTTTTTTTTTGCCACATATCATACTTTACCATCCCCTGAAATATGTCGGCACATTTTGTTAATCCAATTTCTTAAGATAATAGGATGTACTTTACTCATTGCTGTAAATTAATTCGAGAGAGTAAGGAATGGTTAAGATGTCTTTGAAAATTTTCCTGCTTGTTATTGTTCTATCTTTTGTGACAAGTGATGTAAACGGATGTTCATGTTTTGGCAATCCACACCCTCAAGAACAATTCTGCTCAGCAGCTTACGGTAAGTTTTACAAAATGAAACGGGTCGTTCATATAACTTGGCAAGGCTAGTAATCAGTAAGCTTTAGAAATGTGCTTTTTTAGTTATGATGTTAATGCAATGATATACGACCGATTTAATTATTTTTTTTTTACCAAAAAATGAGGAGATTCTAAATAAAACCATAGTTGAAACTTCTGTTATTCAGAGCTAAGAATATATACATGTACGTAGATTTCAAATTATCACACCAAAATGACTATATATTCGATTTAATGACAAGGTAGTGTGTCAGCGAGGTTAGCTACAAGTTATTTTAGTACATCAACTGTAATGTTCTATCGTCCGTTCTTGGATATGCTGAAAGATGAATCTTTCATCGTCTCTCGATCAATTTATTTTCCTTGTTCCTTGCATGTATAAAACATAGCCTGAAATTTAAGGATTAAACTGGTGGGCATTGAATCATCGATGCTAGCATAGTTTATTTGAAAGATTTCACTATCATTTTTTTCAGTTTATAAATGCTGTACTAAATCTATGGTACAGAGACAACATGTTAAACTAAACAGTTGATTAAGACTGCTGTGCTGGTCAAATCTATTTTTTTTTCTTTATCCTCTGAAGGCCACAAGTAGAGAGTTTGGTGAATATCATCTGGGTTCTAACTAATAACAGAACTTGACTACAACAGTTTAACGATAAATCCTTTTTTTTTTGTTCTCGTTTATTTGTGTGTAAATTTTAATATCACCTACTTCAACAGTGGATAATCAACTGTAAACCGAAAGCTAAAAAAAAAATGTCAAATTGTGTTAGTACTAATAAATGAGTAGACTTTGGCAATCGTAAAACTTCATTGTTTTAAATTACATTCAGTCTTTCCACTTTCGAATATAAAAAGTGGAAGAATTGATAACTCGCAAAACCCTTATTAGACTTGCACCGCCTCATTAGGCTTTTCTTCGTTAAAATAAAGCCCTTTGTTGTGGATGAGTATATTTTATTTATATAAAAAAAGATATATCGTTGGTCTATTCTATACTCGGAATGGTGAAGAACTTGACTAGTACACGTAGTATTAATCTTTGCCAATTGTTGTCATATGGAAAAGTAAAATAACAAAAAACACCTAGTAAATTTAAATGACTAAATCAAAAACGTAGACACATTTAACGAATAGATAACAACTGTTATATTCTTGACTTGGTATGAGCATGTTCTTATGTAGAAATTGGTGAATTAAACCTTGTTTTAAAGCTAGACAAGCCAAACCTCGCACTTGTATGACAGTCGCTTAAAATTCCATATTACTACAACAATGTGTGCACAAAACAAACCGACATTAAAGGTAACTAGACAAAATGATCCGCCCACATCTATCTCACAAAAGAGCGAATATCAATAAAAATCAAAACCCTGACCACATGCACACCTTCAATATATGTACAAACAGACAACAAAGTGAAAACTTCTTAGGATTTAAACTAGGAAGAGTTATGCGGAATAACTATATACCCATAATGGGACGGACGGAAGGACGGACACGGGTAAAACAATGTCAAAAATAGGAATACAGCACTCAACATTGTTTTTTTAATCTTCATCACTATAAAAACAAACAAATGTGTCAACAAAGAAAAACATAAAAACACATTTAGCAAGCAAAAAGACAAGAATACACAAAAAAATACGATTTCACAATAACACAATGAAGGGATGAATAAGAATCGAGCCACGTCAAATAGATAATACTAAATAGAATAAACAGTAAAATAATAAGAATACTATAATACGTTATTTAGATGATAAGCAACTTTGGTGCTAAAAATCTTAACTGCAAAAGTATCGCGTATTATTTGTGAAGTTGATATGTTTATCAACAATGTCTTGGTATATTCTAATGAACTCTTTTAGGAAATGAACGAAACATTCTTTGACATAACCCTGTTTTATCAACTTTCTTCTCAGGCACTGATGACGTTTTACAAAGTCGCAGCTGCAAGCTCTTGCATACCGAATGAATTGAGAAAATGTATATCCCATATGCAGGTGAAGTTGGTATATTGACACTAAGGTGGGGGAAATTGATGATTTCAAAATCAAAATTGTCTCGTTTGTTGACTGTCCCTCTGATATCTTTCGTCCCTCTTTTGTTATAGATTCTGGTGTTGAGATGACCATTCATGTCAAATTCGAGGTATAAGTTTAAATATGAAGCCATGTCTGTTGTTTTTTTTAATTTGTATTTCTGGAGGATATATTTATGGAACCCATTCAGTAAAGTTTGGATTGTTAATAAAAAGAAGGAACTCCGACTCATGAAAATAAGAAGAGGTCGGCACGGAGAGGCGCACAGTTCATCCCTTACTAATGCCGACAATTGGCAAATGATTGGTAGAAAAATTCTACCTCAAAATTCAACAAATTTGTTGTCCATACATACCTCCAGCAAACTGAATACTTGTGCCTCTGTATTGCATGTTGTACCTTATTGTTCACTATTTATAAAATATGCCGTATGGTATCCCAAAGTAATTACTTTAGAGCGTATGCTAGCATTTTTATGTTGTAAAGCATTGTAGATAATTTCTTTTAGGCTATTTTTAACCGGATTTTCGAAAAAAAATATCGGTTATTGATTTGGGGATGTACGGCGTGCGGGAGGTCGATCGGGAGGTCAGGTGGGCC